ATGCCACTGAGCTATATCCCCAGCCCCCAGCTCAGTTTCTGTTGATACATGGGAACACTGTACATTCAGTTGTCCAAGCCAGAAATCTCAGATCCAGCAAAGACCCTTCTTTTTTACTTTGCATCCAATCATCACCATTCCTAACAACATGATGTCCTCTCTGTTTTAGTTGCTCTTCTCCCCATCATACTCCTGCTGTGTTTCGGGGTAGGCATGAGTCTTACTTACAGAGTAACTGTAGTGTAGCTGTAGTGATCCTTTCAAGGTAAAAAGTGGGTAAGTCTGTCTTACTGCCATGATTCCACAATGACTTTCCACTGGCTTTTAGGACAAAGGAGTAAATCCTTGGTTTCCCACACTGGGATTTTGTTGACCCATCCTTGACCATCTCCCTAGCTTCATCTGCCTTTGCTGTCACAAGCTCTTTTTAGTACAGACAGTAGAACTGCCTTATATTCAATGCTTGCATTTCTTCCTTACCTGGATTTTCCCCCCTTTTCTCTCAAGATTAAGAAAAGTCATCATCTCCTGTGGAAGTAATGACTTCTGCAAGGAAGTCTTTTTTTTTTTTTTTTTTAAATAGGGTCTCACTATGTAATTCAGACTGAGCTTGAACTCACTGTGCAGCCCAGGGTGGCCTCAAACTTGCAGTGATCCTCCTGCCCCAGCCTTCTGAGTGCTGGGATTACAGATGTGCACCACCACTAGACGCCAGGGAAGTCTCATTAGATACATGTGTACGGTTTTATATATTTTTCTCTCCTGACCAACTCTAAGTCTCATCCTTGCCTCTCCTCCACCCACAACCAGGCTGATACTGCTTTACTGGCAGAACCAATATTTTATGCTAGTCCAGAGCCAAGTTTGCACACAAGAGGTGAGACGTAATCATCTCTTATCTGAAATTTTTCTGTCTTAGTATCTGTTCCCTGTAGATGCCTTGAGTGAGGCTCTTATGGGTTCCTGAGGGATGTGTACTGAGACCATGAGTTAAAGCCGAGATTCTACTCCTCTGGGCTGAGATTTGTCTGCAAGCCCCTTGGTCTAAAGTTCTAAGATATATTATTTTATGGGCTTACTTATGCCATCAATAAAATATTTTGACCTTTGAGTCAGGTATTTTGCACTCTGACCCAGCATACCTACAGAAGTAGTGGACATCTAGCTGCAGTCTGAAGATGGCACAGCAAGTTAACTTCACTGTATTTCCTGATTATGCCACCCAGTTCTCCACACTCATTCTACTCTACTCTTGTAAAGGTTTTGTTGGCTAACATTTCCCTGCTTTTCATTCCAAAGTTCTTGACACAGGATAAACTTGTTCTTTTTTAAGTATTACAGGTTGAATACTTGCAAACAAGATACATGTTTCACATTGCCATAGTTTTATTTTTTTAATTTTTAAAATATTGACACCTCTTATTTCTAAACCACTAACTTGCCCAGGTAGGGCTTAAACTTGCAACCTCCTGCCTCAGCCTACCAGCATGGTGGGATTATCACTGTGCACTGTAACACCCAGCTTCATTGCCAGTTTTGGAGTCAGACTAAAATGTATGAAAACATTCTAGTTCACCAGACAGTATCTTCCCCAAGTATGTCTTCCAAGCTAAAATTCCCATATGCTTTTCAGAGAAAAAGTGGTTTGCATCCTTGGCAAGGTACTTGGCACTGTAACCTAGTCATGCAAACATTTGTCTTTTTGAATAGTGTGTTCAGAACAAATAGTACTATGACTCAGTTCTTGAAGGTAGAACTCATTTTTCTTGCCCTATGAAAGAACAAGTTTGTCCCAGTTTTCAGCAGAAAACTTATATGGCATGATCAGCGAATGTTTAAATTTTAAAAGATGTATCACAGCAAAAGACACAGTTTCATCATTCTCCTTCAAAATACTCTGCCTCACTTGGAACACTCTTATCCAATCACTCTTGCCATTTTCTGGAGCAGTTCTGGAAGCTGTTTTTCATGTCTTTATGAGGTAGGATGAAAACTTCAGTGACTGCTGTTGCCAAGTGCACCCACAGGTGGAAGGC